GTGGTTGGTTGTAATAGTGTGGTTAGTCGTAATAGTGTGGTTAGTCATAATAGTGTGGTTGGTCGTATTAGTGTGATTGGTCATAATAGTGTGGTTAGTCGTAATAGTGTGGTTGGTCATAATAGTGTGGTTAGTCATAATAGTGTGGTTAGTCATAATAGTGTGGTTAGTCGTAATAGTGTGGTTGCTCGTATTAGTATGGTTGGTTGTAATAGTGTGGTTGGTCGTAATAGTGTGGTTAGTCGTAATAGTGTGGTTGGTCATAATAGTGTGGTTAGTCATAATAGTGTGGCTGGTCGTATTAGTATGGTTGGTCGTAATAGTGTGGTTGGTCGTAATAGTGTGATATGGTAAAATCGTCTTAAAATCAAATTACAGTATAGATAAAATAAAAATTGATGAAATATTTTTTTTATGTTTAACACTGTATTCAAATTCTCAAGACCTGATAAGCTTATTCCATAATCATGGGTGATTGGTGTGTAATGAGTGCAGACCAAATGTAATAGTTTTGTAAGCAGGTATTCATGACATACGTGTGGCACTGACAAGTTGTACAACTATTTTTTGATACGGTTAGATGTCTTTGCTAACTGCAGTGAGTAATGAGACACGATGACGTGTGAGTGAAGGAAAACACCAGCAATTAATTTCACTTGTCTCTTGTTACATACAAGTATATTTCCTCTATATGACATAAATTCAAGTATTAGAAGAATGTACACCATTTAAAAGAGGGGAAGTCCTCAACACTTATCAGCGCATGCGTCAAAGGGCCATAGCGTCTACCTACGCATTGCATTTTTTAACGTGCGTTGTTATCGTTGCGTGGGACTCACTTCCCGCACATACGCAGGTGACGACCCTTCCATTTAATTAACATTTTCATATAAAAGTTGCATAGATTCTGGTGTAATACATTTAATTATTGTGATCGCGATAATTGTCTTGACATTTATTTACCGTAAACTATGTAAAAAATAAAGTTTCCACAAAAATCTAATAATTGAGAAATTTCAAATACTGTCGTAGTAAATAGTAACAGTTATTGTATTTTCCAAGATGGAATCTGCGACCAGATTTCATGTCAGTTTGTAAATTCTTTGAATCGGAAATAACAACAAAGTTAAACCGTGAGACCAGCATAACTTTCTTTACAGACTAAAAAAACTAAAATATTGTTTTGTCCTATGTGTAGATTGGAATGGTGAAAATCAGCAATATACTATTATCACGTGGAAGCTAGTAGATGGAAGCCTAACACCAAATAAATGACGTCATAATGACGACAATTGGAAACGAAACAAAAACGTTATTTATCAGTAATCATTAGAGTATATTTTTACCCAAAAAAATGTTTTTTGCGTTCATTTATTTTCTTTCGTCGACACCCGAACATCTGTTGTTTATACAAAATGTACACAAATACAATAAGGCTGGATTGGTGACAGGTATAGGGGATGGAAGACATGGTGCCATACGTTCAAGTTTAGGGCAAGGTAACATCACATGATCAATATTTCTAAAATAATATTTTCTTACCAAGGGAGGGGGTTCTCTGAATAAAATATCGTACGTAAGCTGAAGTAAAAAAACACAAAAAGAAACGCGTAAAGGGGATGTTATTTAGCTATTTGATGCGTATGCGCGCTTACCGTGTTAGGGTAATAAAGTGAAATAAGGAATCTCATGAATTCATGTTATCTCAACTTGGAAACAGTATGATTTTCGTTTTTAAGTTTCTGCACTTGAACATGAGTATAATTTCACAAAAATAAATAAGTGTTTAGAAAATACATGTTTTTTTTGAAAAGCTATACTTCAGCATGGGTACCAAGTCTGACTTGGAGTACCCCCCCCCCCCCCCCGGGGGAGTTTCTTATTGCCCATGAATGTGGTTATCGGTAATTTTTATCAATATTAACATGTAATAGAAATGTTGCGATGTCTCAGACGAGGGACAGTGTCTGCATTAATGTAGTCAGTATACAGTACTACGATTGGTAAGACGGTTTTCAACTGTCATTTAGAGTTAGATGTTTCATAAACCAAATCTATGGGGATCGGAAACGGCTGTGAAAAGGAATTTAACTTTGGTAAAGTTTATTCCCGTATCCAGGAGAAGAGAATGATGTCACATAACCCGGATGACACGTGTAATCACGATGTATCACGTGACGTCATTTCATGGTGGTACCATCATCCCCAACTATTAGTCACATTAATGCGCGCATGAACTCTATCCATTAAACTGAATATAATGTGGTCACTATGATACAGAAAAAAACAAAAAAACAAAAAAACAAACAATAATACGGTTAATAATAAAAGGAACAAATGAAAATATAAACAGAAACATTCTCCCACTCTCTCTCGTGACTTATATCGATGAATTGAATGTTTTCATACTGGGTATACACCACTCTTAAAATTCGATTATTTTCAGTTTATTTCACGGCGATTAACGCCAACAATAACGATTTATTTTGGTCACAAAGGATAAGGCGTCTGACAGGAAAACACGAAAAACACATTACTGATTCAATATCGTGAGTGTATACAAATGACTGCTTTATCATTGGGGTCATCATTGATTAACTGATAAGAAAACGTATGTCACAACTGACGTCATTAATTTATTCATTACCTGACGTCATAACCCTATTTGCATACGCGTTCAGCTGGTGATGGGATGAGTTCAATTTTGTGAAAGTAATTGTTTTTTTGTATCTGCGTTGACGAAAATCTGTCACGCATGACTGTGACGTCACATTATATGCGAGCATACAAGAACTGTACCAAAAAAGAATTTAACATCCGTGGATGATGATACCTAGGTCTGTGGTTCTCATCATAAATCTATAACAATTAAAGCTATATCGTTTCTATGACAACCACATTCTTTGTATATACGTAGTTTAGCTCCTGAATGTTGTACCTATACATTCTGTATACCACGAACGACGGAATACTTTATTTTTAAAAGGTTTATTTCGGCATGAAAACACCTCCTTAAAAAAACAATATAAACAAAAATCTGTGACATTTGTTGTAAATATTGTTGATACTATGTCTACATTGGACTATGATTTATCGTGAACTAAATAAACTGTTATTGTAGCACATATCTGAGTATTAGGTTTAAAGCGGGAGGGTCGTCACCTGCGCACGCGCTGGAATTGAGTCTCAAGCGACGATAACAGCACATGCTAAAAAACTCATTGGTAGACGTTTGTTTGTAAACAATGACACGCTATGCCCTTCTGAC